GTTAGTTAAACACATCTAAATAACTCAAAGGTGACTGACATAGTGATCTATCAACGCACAGCCCAAACCACTGGACAGATCGTACTGAAATTTGGCATGCAGGTAGATATTATGACGTAGGCATCCGCTAAGAAAGGATTCTGATTAATTCTACCCCCAAGGGGATAAAATAGGGGATCAAGAATATAAATTTGTATTAAACACGAGAGTTTAAACAATAACCGGGTCGGTTAATAATATAAATGTGTAATTTTTTTTGTAGAAAATATCTAACTTAAAATTCATAGCGCTGACAATGTTATCTGATTGAACAGAGATTAATTGCGTAGCGGTTTCTATGTTGATTGTCGCATGCCTAATCTTTGTTGTTAATTAAATATAAGTAAATCAATATTTATTTAAAAGAGCAACACACAAGTTTCTTACTTATTCTACTTGTAATGAATCGCATTCCGAATAAGCGGTAGAATAAAAAAAACTTTACTATTCAAAAGTGCTTATATTAAGTTTATTTGAATAAGATTATTTCTATTTATATTAAACACGAAACTTTAAAAATAAAATTAGGCATAATTTTATTTTCCTAATGTTTGTTATTATGAAGAAATAACAAAATGACAGAAAACAATAATAAAATATTTTCCATTCATAGAAATAGAAAATCATTTATTCAAATAAACTTACATCGAAGCACTTTTGAATAGTCATCACATTTTTTTAATCTACCGCTCGTTCGGAAAGCTGTCTCATCACAAGAAGAACGAGCAAGAAACTTGCGTGTTGCTCTTTTAAATAATTTTATTATTACTTTACATTTTTAAGTTTAAGTGTGTGAATACAAACCACCAATTAGCACTAATTCAATTAAATACTCAAATAGAAAAAATATTGATATATAACCAACTGGTTAAACAATTAATAAGAGAAAATCAGTCATAGTGATTAGAGCAGACCAGTCCCTACAAGCAGCACCCGTTCACAAGTATGACGGATGAGCCAGCCATCACTGCGCTCGACCATATTTCAGGGAGCCCAATGACCCGGCCCACCACGCCGCCACAAGTCTGGACATTTTAATGAGCATGACTACTCAAAACACTAGACCACGTCAAAGCTACTTACAATTGCCATCTGATAGTTAAATATTCACATTTTACATAAGAATGCATGCGGCAATCAATACAAAAACCACTATGCTTTCATATTTCTGAAATAATTAAATCAAGAAAGCAATGAGATAAATAAATTATAACGTTGTATGCTAGTAAACTAATTATTTACTTGATATGTTGTCGTCTATGAATTCGTCTATCCTGTAATAGGCTTTCTTACACAAAAATTGTTTAATATAAGATGTGAATTGCCTCTCTGTCAGATTTAATGCAGATTCTGGTAGTTTATTGTAAAATCTTACGCAATTACCATAGAATGAATTACTGATTTTGTGCAAACGGCATTTAGGTAAAATTACCTTATTTACATTGCGTAAGTTTCTACTTGTACAGTCTTTAAGTTTTTTAAAGCTCTCTAAGTTCTTCCGTGTATACATGATATTTTCATATTGGATCTACTTACATCATAAGTATTTGCACAACCGAACCGAGCAAGAGATTCAAAACCATTTGCATAATGCAATCGCAACACACAAGTTCTGACGTTTTAATCTCAAAGTCAAGCACGTGCAGGCATAAATCTTGGTGCCAACCCTATCACGAGATATCAGCTAATGTATGCAACGATGCATCGTGCATATTCAACCGCTTCGAGTCGATCTCCCACTGTACTAGCTTAGTAATCTTTGTGGCCGACAAACCAGGCTCTTACACACACAGGCTTTTTCGCTTCAAAATCTATTAAGTTGGTCGGAAAGTAATTTCGTTTTTTTCCTAACTTAGGATTTCATTGTATTTTTTGCACTCAACTTCACACTTAAGCCGTATACACACGCGTACACTTAGATTGTGGAATGAACTACCTGCCGAGGTTTTCTCGAGAGACTACAGCATGTGGTTTTTCAAGAGGGGTATATTAAGGTCGGCAACACGTATGTGACACCCCTGGTGTTTCAGGCGTCCATAGGCTATGGTAACCGTTTAGCATCAGATGGGCCGTATGCTTATTTGCCACCTAAGTGGTATAAAAAAAATATATGCTTTGAGAGCTCATATAACAAGGCCTGTGTATGAAAAATTCCATTAATTCTAGGCAGTAGTTTTTGGTTGGTGCCCTTTTAAATATGGAAAGCGATAAGCATCATTTTCGACATATCTTACTGTTTTACTACAGAAAGGGCAAAAATGCTCTCCAAGCCAGAAAGAAATTGACCGACGTGTGTGGAAAAGATGTGTTAACAGTACGCCAGTACCAGAACTGGTACGCTAAATTTCGATCCGGCAATTTTGATGTCGAGGATGCACCACCCTCGGGAAGGCCGATTGAAGCTGAATCTGCGAATAACAACATTTATAACATTTCAGGCCTTTCAAGTGGTCTTAAATTGTGAAATTTGATAAATTTAACCTCAATCCTATCTCACGTGCTATTCGCCGGTTCGCATCAACCAATGCTTTTATATATAAGCTCTCAAAGCATATAAAAATTATACGGCTTAAGTGTGAAGTTGAGTGCAAAAACTACAATTAAATCCTAAGTTAGGAAAAAACGAAATTACTTTCCGAATAACCTAATATTTATTCTATGCTATCTACTCGCCCCGATTCCGCACGGGTATACATGTATTATACATATAAATTTTCCTCTTGAATCACTCTATATATTGCTGAAAACTGGAAAATCGGAAAATCCTTTACGTTTAAGCGGAAGCGACTTTCCAGAAAGCTTTCGAAGACTTTCGAAGCAAGACTATCCCAGGAGGAGATAAAAACCATCGCTCCGAAGAATATCCTTCAATTCTTGTCCCTGACGGGTCTGGGTAGCGAACTTTGAAAAGGGCGAGCACAATAGATCTATGTAGGTCGCAGTGCTACAGGTGCTACACATCTGACAATAGCCCAAAAAATCCAATAAAAAAAAAAGTCTCCCAAAATAAAGGTGTGTTTACATTAAAATACTGTGTAAGGATAAATTGCCAAAATAAAAGTCCTGTTTACAAATTACTATAATAATATGTTTATTGTATATGTAAGTAAAGTATACATAGTTATATTTGAGGACGATACGACTAGTACCGAGTATACACTAGCGATAGTACTACAAACAATTACTTGACTCATTAAATTACATCGCTCACTTTTCCACATAAAGTTTGCTATTTATCGATCAATAACAGCATTGAAATAAAAATAAATTTTTGTACGTACTATTTCACGATTCTTGACAAAGGTATAAAAAAAAAATTAACATCTGTACTGTCCACGACAGCGGAGTCTGACTCTTAATCCTTGGAGGCTTCACCATGACCAGCATTGGTATTCTGGCTTCACTCGAGATATTTGTCAAATATAAAGTTCCTACTGAGCTACTTAAAAAAAAATCACTAGTGCCTGTTTTACCTCCACCCCGCTATCGAGTTTTACTAAATATCAATTTACAACCTCACCACGAATTTCGATTTCGAAATCGTAAGTGATGCTTACAGAATAGCTCTCCAGAGGCCAGGCTCTTTATTTCACCAATAGAACAAGACTTTTTGTTAGCTCTTCCAAACTTATGACTTAAAACTTTCACTCTAGCTGACGGTCGACCAGTAAATATCGATACATAAATGAAATAATTAAAACATATTAAATATAACAACATTGGAATACAAATACGAAAATAAACAAAAAATAAATTTGGTTGTTTAGTAGATCATTTTAACAAATATAGAGTGATATCACATACATTTGACTAGTAATTTTAATAGGTATTTTTAAATTTAAACTAGATGTTAAATCATTATAATGAATAAAAATTACATAATCCAATATATAATAAAATCCTTATTTTTTCTTATAACTCAAGTATAAAATAATGCAATAATAACACACGAATCTTAAAACTGCTAATTCATATTTAAATAAATATTTTATTTATGTTTTATGTAAGGAGTGAATACAATAAAGAATGAAATAAATAAATAAAAAATTTAATAATTAAAACAGTAGTCCAATTGTTTCTATTTTTTAAGGTCAAAATGTTAATTAAAATAAAACGTTACGTTATTTAAAAATAAAGTCAACTCTTAATACATCATAAGAAAAAAATTCAAAATGGTGATGAAATTTACTAGTGCCAATAATTCACAAAAACGACACTACCCCTGTATATTGAAATAGTCACCTTACGCTAATAGTAATAAAGTTTGATTTGTATAATCTGATAATAATGCCTGGTAGGAAGGGGATTGTTAGTAATGTGGACTGATGAGCTTATTGCTAGCAATGTACCATGTCAGGTTGACCTCCACGCGGTTCCCCTGGAAACCATCGTGATAAATTACTGGTGAATTTGTCACGATGGGCTAACTGACCTGACCTCATGCTCATCTTATAATCCTCCAATGGCCAGCCAGCGTAAACCATTAACGCATTCCATTATCAGTATATATAACTGTCAATTTCAGTTGACACACAAAATTGATCATAATAACTATCAGCGTAAAGTTACTTTTCAAACTCTATAAATTTCATCACTATCATTTACATATTGCACAAAGTCCCACGCCTGACTTTACTCCTCGTCACATGATCCACTATGAAATAATTATTAAGAAATGATAACGAAAAACAACAGTGGTGAGAATCTGTTTTAGTATTTTATAAATATCGTACCGTACTGCAAACAATAACGATAATAATGATGACGATAAACACCTGTAAAATCATTGTCTTATAAATATCATCGTGTACACTAGGGATTGCAAACGATAACGATTCTAACGATAAACGACTGTGAAATCATTGTTACCTATAGCTCAGGTAAATACAATACTGTCACTCGACACAAACAAATAAAAATATATGTTTAGTACTATACAACTACACAAATTTCATTCCACATTCTCATTCCCAGGGAACTCGCTTATTGCTGCATTAGACTAGATATTTATTTATACAACAGACTGTGATAAATATTGAATAGTAAAATTTCGTATAAAATGTGTTTTTACATTCCTATTGATTACTGAATAGTGATCGTTGTTTATTAAATTATTTGTACAACTTTACATCGTTAACCAACTTAATCGTTATTTACGCTAATCATTATTTAACTTAAATTTATTACGACTATGGTACAAAATGCATAACACTAGTATAATGACTAGAATACATCCACTAAATAAATAAATAAATTAAATTACAAATTCAGTCTTTCTGTAATACGAAACAGAAGTAATAAATAGTAATGAAAACTGGGTTTTTTCATTATTGTAATGAAATTATTGGATCCGCTAGTTTGTAATTAAAATACCAGTATTAGGTGCATGTATGAAATTTAACGATAGCAAAACTTAACAGCAGGATATGTAGATGCTATGTGCGTTCGAAAAATACTAACATATGTATATAATACTAGGTATATAGCCTATCAAATGCTGAAAGTACATATAAATTTAAAAATTTTGCGATAAAATATTTATAATGAATTAGATAAAAATATCAAGATAGAGTATAGCAGATGGATAAAGTATTATAAAATCCGTATATTTACTCGTAGTTTCGTAATTTCCACTAGCTTTTTAGTTCATCGAGAAAACTAAATTTGAAAGTCCTTTTGCAATCTTTGCATTAATTTTAGAAGTTGTTTGATCTTATTTTCTGCCAATAACAGTCTAAGATGAAGTTATAAATAAAATTCTATTTCTCAATTTAGAATAGCAATGAATTATATTTTTACTTCTATAATTTCTTGTTCAAATGAAAATGTTTCATGAATTCATTTATTTACTTTATTGCTATATTAAGCACGATAATATTTTTTTTAAATCTTTATTTTCAGTTCTGTTTTCATCACGTACTATTTTAACGCCATTGAATATTGTGATAATAATTTTATACAGTCGATATTTATCAATATTAGAAAAACTAATATTAAGTTCAACGTACAAAGCATAATTTTGTTTAGTGTATTTATAAAAACAACTGCTGATTAATATTCTCTTCTTATTTCATCTTTTTCTATCTTCTGATGTTTCCTCTTCACTGTTTCTTGTTTATATTTCATTTCTTAGTTCTAACCTATATATACTACATTTAACTTTGTATGAAATAAATTTCATTTTACACAAAGTTTGTGTTAGTTTAAGAGTCAGGACTACATTCATGATTATTAATTACGTAATTAGTCTTCTTTCATTGATCAAAATTAGGAACAGATTTATAATAAGGTGCCCAGTATTAATAATCTGTACGTAGGATATAAGATTCTCATTTATATAAATCTAAGATAAGATTACAATTAAGGTAAGTTAGTGTAATTAGCCAGTTCTTTTCCGCTCTTGTACATTGATGTCAGGATCGGGTCCAGGTTGTGGTACTCTTTACCTGATCGCGGTCGTAGCGTGCTCGTCGGTTGACGATTCAGTCTGAAATGATAAAGAAATATACTTGAAATTTATTTTAGTGGTCTAGAAGTTTAGCACCCCTATGCATGAGGTGCTCCTTGATGGTGATCCTTGAAGAATAATTTGTTATAGCTGTGTACTCAATAATATCACTGCCAAATCTCAATCCTAGCCTACAAAGCAAGCTGCATAGGGACAGAAATAGTGAAGAGGAGACAGAAGAATCCACGGAGACGACTTTATACAAAATGTACCTTGGAAAAAAGAATATTATAAATATAATTACACGAATATTCTAATAATCATTGGCCTCTATAACTCAAAATGTCTCAAAAAGATTAAAGAAAGAGAATCAATAAATACCTTATGCCAGTAGGAGTATCAGATGAGGAATGCGATGACGTCATTGATAATGTTTCAATATAGTCAGACATATCGGAAGTTCCACTTGATGTACTATGTGTATCCACCACGCCTAAAATTACAACAATGCATTTATTAATATATGAACGTTTCAGTTAATTAGATAGGGTAAGAGTATGTCAAATAGTACTTCATATGGTCATATAAATTGAATTTGTTTACGATACTACTTCGCTTAATAAAGACACATAGAAGACAAACTGGGCGACTCCTGTATAAAAAAATGCAACATACTAATGACAAATACTCTATACTTACCTTTCAACTGTTTTGGTGGCAACACAGGTACTTCCGCCTCAGCAGATGACGATTTAGCCGGTATATTTGCTTTATGTAATTGCAAGGACATGTCCCTCAAAGGATCTGATGACTTTGACTTTCTGGGCAATGACGAATGCAGACATCCAGATAAATTACCTCTCATTCTTTTATGTATCATATAATGATATCTAGATTGTCCTGAAGTTAAAGGCATTTCAAATTCATTAAATTCACCTCCGCCATGTTTTAAGGAACAACTAGAAACTCCTGAATCATTGGAACTCGATGAGTCTCTATTTCCACCTGATTTGCAGGGAACACTAGACGATCTTTTAATTTGTGCATTATCCATGTGCTTATTCCTCAAATGAGGTCCTTCTTTAGAACTATTTTCTTCCGATGTTTTATTTTCTGATCCCGATGACTTACAACATTCATAACATTCCCTGTCATTTTCGCAGGGAGATGAAGATCTTCTGTTTTCTAATGCTAAGTTTCTCAAAGTTTCTAGTGATGAAGAAGTAGCGTGGCTACCAATACTACTATCCATTTCTTTTAAATCTTCTAGAAGCCTTGCGGAATCTACTGAGCTGGATCGTTTTTGCATAGCTTCTCTATTATTATTAGCTACAATATTTTGATTATTTGTTCTACTACAACTGCCATGTAATGTAGGTATACTCAGTGATTTTTCTTTTTCTACGTGATTAATTTTATATAAAGGATGTTTCAAACTTTGGGACCAATTAGGATTCGGTAACATTGGTGTATAACCTGGATTCAGACTAAGAACTTTATTGCAAGTATCACGTTTCATTTCCGATGACGGTTCCATGAGTAAATATTCATCAGTTTTAATTTTAACACCCTCTTGTAATTTATGTAAACCTGTTTGTGAATGACCACACTTAGAACAATGCCGTGATTTTTTAGGCAAAACATTTGTGGCAACATTTATATTTGCACTCAGTGCATCTAATTCAGTTTGTGTTACTCCAGCTTTCTTTAATAAGTCCTTTGCATTTTCATAATATTCTAATGATAAAGCAAATTCAAGATTTTCATAATTTGCATATGCACCTTCAAATTCCTTTTCTTCTTTAGGCTCTATGTTTTGGTAATTTGTGAAGGTTTCTTCAACTTGAGAATTTTTATGATCCTGTTCTACGATTGAGCCACTTTGTCTATTAGTTTTTCTAGAAACATCAACTGTAGCATACAAAGCTGTCTGATCAGTTTTCTGACTATTTATTATTTCTGTATTTATTTCACTATTAGTATTTCTTTTACAATAAGGAAGACTTATTAAATTATTTGCCCAGTTTGTAACTTTTTGACACGGACATTCTACAGGTTGTATATTTTCATCGCATTCTACTACTACTGGCTTTTTTCTTGAACCAAATTTTAAAATACAGCCACAATTTTTCTTCAGCACTAAGGAACCTGGACTCGAATTGTTAGTAACTTGAAAAAGATCATCTGCCAATGCTTGTTGTATTCTTTTTGGTGTGTCGTAATATTCTGCGTTGTCGATCTGAAATAATGGAATAATTTTAAAATATAATTTACTTATAGTTTAAATATATAATCTAAACAAGTATTTATATATTTATATACTAACTTCAGTGTGCGTAGTTTTAGGAACATCATAATTTTCATAAGGACCAACTTTTGGGTTATTTATATATACGTTGTCATTTTTAGAACAGGAACAATTCTGAGATGATGGTAGTGGTGACATTACAGGCTTCTTTTGGTCCAAACGTGATGGTTTGGGAGGTCTTTCCGGAGCTTTTTCTGTACAGTGATATCCTTCTAAAGTTTTTCTTATTGCTTTTGGGGTCAAATATTCTGTGCTATTTGATGAATTGTCTGAACTACTTTCAGGAACTGCTTCCATAGTCCAAGCTGGATTGAAATGGTTTCCAGGTGTAAGAGCCACTGTAGAAGAACGAGATATAGCGCCCAGCTTTGTGAGGCAGTTTGTGCAACGTTCTAGAGTGACATGATCAGCTCCACTCCATAATGGTTTAGGATTTGTTTCTATGTCAGGCTCATCGTAACCTCGCCTCTCATCAGAGGGCCAGTATGGAGATACTCTGCCACAATCTTCTCCAAAGAAGTTCTCTTCATACAAACCACTTGACGTATCTGGTATTGATTGATCAGCAGTGTTCAAATCGGAAAGTCGAGTACTAGGACGTGATTTATTTTTTTCTGTACCTGAAAATTAATAACGTTTCGTAAATAGGCAATTACATAAGTATTTCATGAAGAATAATATGAACTTGTATATACCTGTACTTTTTCGTGAAGTAGCAGGGCGTTGTAAAGAAAAATTGCCGTGAGCAGCCATATCGAATGAGTCTGTTATGTCTTGAGCTTGATCCGTAATAAGCATATGGAGACCTTCTCCTTTACCGCAATGAGAACCACCTTCGAAGCAAAATCTTCCTTCCACAACACCATAGCGTCTGTAAAAGAAATCAATCATGAGCCATGCATCGGATGGTGATGTGACAGATTTTTTATATTTATTTAAATTATCATAATAGTTTAAATAAATTCTATACTACCATTGTTAAGATTTTTTTTGTACGTTATTCTTCCGTTTATTATGGATAATGTTAAAAAGCATTGACAAATTTAAAAGAATGCTTCAAAACTGATTTTAAGCAACAGTGTACTTTTAATTAGACAACAAAGAAAGTCGATGAGAGTCCTTTTAAATGTTTTATAAAATGTATAAAATCTAACTATTAAACTACTTTATATGACTATTTTAGTTATTAAATCCTTTTCTTAAATCTATTGTTTCAAGGGACTTAAAAGAAACGTAATTTTACAGATCGTAAAAGATCTTAATATGAACAAGGGGTTAAATTGTAATCCCACAGATAGTTGATATGAACTATAATAAATAAGAAATAATCTTAATTTATTCCAATATATTCAATATGCTTATATGGAATATATTGAACAGACTTTAGAGAACAGTTTTTATTTCTACCTTTCAGTCTGAATGCAGATTCAAATGTTATAAAACTTTACATTTTAAAGATATCGTATTTTGAAATCGTATTTTACAAACAACAAAATATGCCACAGTTCATGAACAATTAAATATAATACTTGATGGAACAATATTAATGTGCTATCGTGGTCAGAGAAATCCAGTTACTACAAGCATCTATTCACGAGTATACCAGATAATCTAGCCAAAATTGTAATAACGGAACAACGCAAATATGTATTTATATCTCATATTGTTTCTTGTCTTCTTCTTCTTCTTTCGTTTCAACCACAACTAAATACATATATTTAAATATATTTTCCCCAGAACGCCGTGACGACCCTTGCGCATTCCGTCGCATTTTTTATGTCTTCCTTTGTGCAGAATACTTGGCACAAAGGACAAGTCAAGAGGTATGTCATAGTCTGGTATGGCGCTCCGCAGTCAGAAGCCTCCCTTAAAGCGGCATCCCACTTTATAAGTTGTACCTGCAGCGGCCCATCTAGGTTCGTAGACTGATGAGCGATTTCCAAATGGGCCATTGCAGGCTACCTGGGGGCAGGTGTTCGGCTGGTTGAATAAAGTCCAAAGGAGCAGGATGATTTAACTTCCATAATTCTACTTTGGCTTTATGTGGGTCGTAGGTCAAAGTTCTTGTCCTTTTTAAAAAAATTGTTTCTTGCAATAATAGTATTTAGAGCGATACAGAAATTGGCAAGAATGCAAGTAACGATAGTTTGCCAAGTAATAAGTAACTTAACAATGATGGTATGTTAAAATGGCGGCATATGCATTGTAGACGAAATGGCAACGGCGGCGGAAGTCACTCGCTATTAAGTCCTGCGGTTAAAATACTGCAACCAGTACATCAAGTTTATTTGTTTTAAAATGTTGCTTTTCATTCCTAGAATGCAAGAAAAGTGGAAGCAGAAGATCAAGCGAATCTGATCCTATTTTTGTACTGTCCTATCCTTTAGTCCTCTTCATGCAAAACTTTATATTAGTAGTACTAGCTTTATTAATAATACTAACTATTCGCCCCGGCTTTACAGGAGTGTACACGTATGACATATATAAACATTCCTCTTGAATCACTCTATCTATTAAAACAAACTTTAAAATCCGTTGCGTAGTTTTAAACATTTAAACATACATAGGTACGGACAGACAGCGATAGCGACTTTGTTTTATACTATGAAATCTATAATAACTAAAAGAAATTTCTGTCCCGATGAAATTTAATAACATCATAAAATCGTCAAAACTAGAATGATTGAACTGCAGAGTTAACTCTTTGTATTAAAAAAAAGATCAATAGAACGAGAAAATATGACCTACATCATTACATAGTATAAAATAAAGTCGCTGTCACTGTCTGTCCGTCCTTATGTATGCTTAAATCTTTAAAACTACGTAACGGATTTTGAAGCGGTTTTTTTTAATAGATAGAGTGATTCTAGAGGAAGGTAATTATATATAATACATGTACACAGGGGCGAAGCCGGGGCGAGTAGCTAGTAGTGAATAAAATAAACGATCGAAAACTAGAACTCAATTGAACTATTGCATACCACATTTTCCACAAACGTGAGTGCAGATACCGAAATATAAAACGACCACAGACAGACAGATTGCACGTTTATGGGGAGCCCGTGAAATGATCGACTTTTATTGTTCGGCTTTATGGTCCCCTGCTGCATCCAGTTTTACTACGGCACATATACATTTTCATTGTACTAGAAGATCTTGGGTAGCTGATTGCATTTCGTATTCACCGCGAATTATGCCTTGTAATGCCTTTGAAATTTTAGACTGTTGAATCTTAATAAGACATTAAATTTATCTTTATTAGAATTATTATCAATCAATAAACCTTTTGTACACTCCATTTATGTTTTTAAATCATTAATCTTAATCATAGTAATAGTATGACGACCTCTGTGGTCTAGCGGTCTAGCACACCGCTTTACGACCGATGGTCGCGGGTTCGATTCCTTGCACGGTACAAACATTTGTATTCCTGAGTATGATTGTTTGTATCGGTCTGGGTGTTTTCTATTCATACATATTATATATGTATGAATTCACAAAAAATAAATCTATGTATATGTATCAGTTGTCTAGTACCCATAACACAAGTTTTAGCTAGCTTAACTTGGAACTAGATGGCGCTGTGTGAATTGTCCTGAGATTATTATTATTATATTATAAACGTGAAGTATGAACATATTATAGTAGATGTATAATTTATAAATATTTCATTAATACGAAATTGACATACTCATATTATAAATAATGTACGTACTTAATGTTGACTAACTAAGAATAACCAAAATTGACATCTGTTCTGTCTGTTGCATGTCAGAAATGACAAAATGTGTGAAACTAATTCTAAAGACCTTAAAAACCACATATGTACCACATTTTAAGCAATAAATATTCATTTCATTTCATTTCATAGAAAATATCTTATTAATATTATAAAAGCGAAAATTTGTAAGTATGGATATTTGTTCTCTTTCATGCTAAACTGATTTTGATGAAACTTTATAATAATATAGCTTATTTATCAGAATAATATATCGACTACAATTTAAAAAGATATAATGTAAATTGAGTAAGATGCAGACGAAGTTGGGTCAGCCAGTTCAATCATAATTTAAGACCCACGCGCTTGTTGATGGAGCTCTTGCTCATAAATACGAAGTTACGATGTATAAAATATTGTTGTTTTTATATAAGATTTTTTTCTTATTAATATTGTTTTATATTTCTATAATATCTGTTATATATTTATTTAAATTGTAATTTATGTGCATGCTTACTGTGGGTTAATTGAAAATCAGCGCTAGAAACTATTTGCAACAATATTGGTGGAATCAAACCGGCAACCATCAAAAGTATGGCAGTATGCTAAACCACTAGATCACTGAGGCCGTTAAATATAAATTAACACAATTTTTATATGACGACCAGATTTGAACTGAAAACCGTCGAAGATTGGTAACCACTATTCCCTAGTGGTTACCCATCTTCGATAATAATCTCTTAATCTATTTTACAGAACATTCAACTATTTTTATTATTAGTACCTACTCTAGTGGTGATAAATCAGATAAAAAAAAAGTTTACTAAAATAATTATAAAACTGTTGAAGGAATATAACGTACCTCAAATGAGCCAGTTCCCACAGCCCCAGCAGGCGAGGTGGAACTCCACTCGTCAATGCAAATCTTCTCCCTTGAAGGTGTAGCCTGGCCGGTCCAGCTGGCAATTTCCTCGATCCTCCACTGCCGATCATCACCAAGAACTCCTTCGAGGACCCCAACTGCCCCCCAACTTTCACCTGCCATGCAATCAGCCTCTCCCTGGTCTCAAATGCCAAAACCACCGTCACGTCTTGACATATTATGGCAATAGTATTCGATTCTTTGTCTAAAGTAAAGCCAGATTCAAAGCCGAGGAAGTGTTGGAGTGAGAGAGAAGCCTTTGTCTGTCCTTTTTTGTAACGGTCCTTTGGTTCCCGGTAGAGTTGTAGGTGGAGACAGTCTGGAACAAAAAAAATTGATGATAAATAATTTGTCTCACGACACCGTCCTCGCTGGCGAAGGCGACGACCTCAAACACATCATACTGCGCAATCAACCGGGCCTGCGCGCGCCTAAGCACTCCGTTACCCCCAGACGCCCCTCCGATCGATCTCCCGTTCAATTCAAACAGGGATGGATATTACGATGGCCTGAGCCGAGGTTTTTTTTTATTATTGTAATAGTGAAATGGTGCACCCGCCTGCGCTAACGGTTTACGCTGGCAGGACACCAGTGGAGGATGATAAAATGAGCATGAGGTCAGGTCAGTTAGCCCATCGTGACAAATTCACCAGGAATTTAACACGATGGTTTCCAGGGGAAACCGCTTGGAGGTCAACCTGATGTGGTACATTGCTAGTAATGGGGTCATGAGTCCACATTACTAACAATCCCCTTTCCCCCTCTGAGCCGAGGTTCGAACCCCTAGCGGTATTAGACTAAAGTCGTATCCATCAAGCGGGAGTTAGCCTTCAGTCGCTCCATAAGTCCTTCCACGGGTTTGGAGTGCCATCTGTACTGTATAGTCCGGTGAAGCTGTAAAGGCCAGCTGCAGCCATGCTGTTGGCTGCAGTTAGTCGTAGTAGAGTAGTTACAAAAAAAATTGTTCAAAAACTGAAATTAATGATTACAATTCCAAGAAATATGGAATTATTAAAAAATATCACACAGTTATATTGTTTTTTTTTATTACAACTAGCTATATCCCGCGGCACTGCTTGCATGAAATACAGCAAAATTCCAGCTGCTAATATAGAATAATTAGAGAGGGGAGAATTAGAATAATTGTCATTAGAGTCTTCTCACTTTTTTTTCCGAAAATTTTTGCCACGCGCAACCACATTGTGTTATCACCTTCCAGCAATTATTTCCTAACCAGGTATATCCTAACCGTTACGATATTGAAACCTTTAAGAAAGGAGCTTATTCCTTTACAAGGCCGGCAACGCACTTGCAATTCCCCTGGTGTTGCGGGTGCACATGGGCGGCGGTAATCACTTACCATGGAGTGAGCCGCATGCTCATTTAATTTAAAAAATGACAGTAATAAATTCATTAATAAATAAATAGTACTAATAGAAATAAAAATAAAAATAATCTTTATTCAAATAAACTTAATATAAGCACTTTTGAATAGTCACATTTTTTTTATTGTACCACTCATTTGGAACGCAGACTCATCATAAGAAGAATGAGCAAAACAATCGTGTGTTGCTCTTTTAAATGAACGTTGTTTTAGGTTTTACATACACAAGGATTAGGCATGCGACTATCAGCATAGGAACCGCTACGCACTTGATCTCTGTTCAATCAGATAACACTGCCAGCGCTATGAATTATAAGTTAGATATTTTCCACAAAAACATTATTATCATTTATAAATTCTTCAATTTTATGATAAGCTTTTTTACAAAGAAAATATTTTATAAGACATTTGAATCTTTTCTCTGGCAAATTGAGTACAGACTCTGGCAGTTTGTTGTAAAACCTTACCAAATTGTTACTAACTTTCGTCAAACAGTAATTAGGTAACTACTAATTATATAATTTCCATTTCAAATAGTAACAATCCCTCCAATGAAGCAGAACACCTTTTCATCGAAGTCAGTCTTTCTCACTCCAAAATACTCCTAGGTGTTGTGTACAGTCCTTTTCCTACAATTGATTACTTCACTCCTCTAGAAAATCTCTTAGAGAATATGATCCCATCCTATGAACATACAATAATACTAGGAGACTTTAACACATGTCTTTTAAAAATGATTATCGCTCAGACTGTCTCCGATCTATGGCTGATGCCTGTAACCTCACTATCTTGCCCCTTCGTGCTACGCATTACTTTCCTAGTTGTAAACCTTCCCTTCTAGATCTTATCCTTGTCTCTTCCCCTGATCTTGTCGATAAACATGGTCAACACACTGCGGATGCCTTTTCTTTTCACGACCTTATTTTCCTATCATTTAGAATACGTCCTCCGAAATGCAGACATAAAATCCTGATGCGACGAAATTTTGGTGCTATCGATTTAAACCGTTTGCGTAAGGATGCCCTGGACATTGATTGGACCTCAGTTCATAATACAGGATCTGTCGAAGATCAGGTGGAGATATTTAACAAAATTATCACTGACCTATATGATCGCCATGCTCCTATTCGACCTATTCGCGTGAAGCATCTACCTGCACCTTGGCTAACTAAAGAAATTAAGGACATCCAGATCATTAAAAACAAGGCGAAATCTAAATTTAAATCCGACCCTGATAAATATCGGGACCAGTACATTAAAGCTAGAAATCACTGCAATAAGGTGTGTAGAGAGGCACAACGACGCCATATTCATAAATCTGTCGAGAATGGTAATCCGGCCAAAGTCTGGAAATTTCTCAAATCTCTAGGGGTTGGTAAAGATCGTAATCCCATCAGTAATTCTTTCAATGTCAACATAGACAACCTTAATAGGCACTTCTCATCTTCCTTTGTTATTAACAACAACATGAAAACAAATACGTTAAATCTCCTTTCAACTACTCCAACTCCTGATTATCCAAGTTTTAAGTTTAATCTAGTTACTAATTGTGATGTTGAGAAGAGCTTGTTATCAATCAACTCTGATGCCATGGGTACTGATGGTGTTGGTCGTACTATGGTCCATCTTATCCTCGATATTATCCTCCCTACAATCTCCACAATTTTTAACAACTCCCTATCCTCTAGTTTTTTCCCTCCCATCTGGAAAGATGCCCATATTATTCCTCTTCCTAAAATTAGTAAGCCGTCTTCTTTTTCCCATTACCGTCCCATCTCTATTCTTCCTTTCCTTTCTAAAGCTCTTGAACGACTTGTCCATGATCAACTTAGTAAATTCCTATCAAGAAATGACCTGTTAAATCCACTCCAATCAGGATTCAGACCTGGTCATAGTACGACCACTGCTTTAGTTAAAGTAAGTGATGATATCCGGCACGGAATGGATAATTCGCAATTAACAGTTCTTACATTACTGGACTTCAGTAATGCGTTTAATACTGTTGATATTGACATTCTGTTAGCACGCATGCGTTCAATCAACATATCTCCAATGGTAACTGACTGGTTTCGAACTTACCTGTTTGGGCGTCGGCAACGAGTACGTATTGACAATACCTTTTCATCGTGGTGTCATACTTCTGCCGGCGTTCCTCAGGGTGGCGTCTTATCTCCTCTTCTTTTTTCGTTATTCATTAATTCCATCACTACACAACTTCATTCCTCATACCACCTTTATGCAGATGATCTACAGATATATACACAAGCTACGTTAACTGACATTACAACCGCCATACAGACTATTGCTACAGACCTGGATGGTAATTACTAATGGTGCAAATCTTTCGGTTTGGCATTAAACCCGGCAAAAACTCAGATCATCATTATCGGCAGCCCACGCTACATAGCCAAAATAAAAACGAGTACGCTTCCGCGGATAGTGTTAGACGGTGTGTGTATAGAGTATAGCGACAGTGTCAAAAATCTCGGAATTCACTTTGATAAGACCTTGTCATGGTCAGTCCAGATGGCTGAGCTTAGTCGAAAGATTTTCATGGTCGCAGGCTCACTAAGAAGATTGGGTAATTTCTTGCCCGTCGACACCAAAATTTCGCTTGCACACACCTTACTCCTTCCTGTCCTTGATTATGCCGACACCTGCTACCTAGACCTCACCGAAGTCCAATTAAATAAACTTGAGCGCCTTCAAAATATCTGTATAAGGTTTATATTTGGACTACGCAAATATGACCATGTTTCTCAGTATCGCTCAAAGCTCAAGTGGCTCCCTATACGTCTTCGCCGTGACTGGCATATCCTCTCTCTTCTTTACTCCATTCTTTTTAACCCTGTAACTCCCTACTATCTTAAAGAAAAATTTGTTTTTCTCGGTGAGTCCCAAAATCATGGCTTACGCAGTGCAACAAACCTATGCCTTAAAACTCCTTCCCATACTTCTTCTTTCTACACTAACTCATTCTCTGTGCGCGCCGTGCGACTGTGGAACTCACTACCATCCTCCATACGGAGTGCGCAATCACTAACCATTTTCAAGAACGCTGTGAAATCGCACTATCTCTCTCAGTAAATATTCTTTCTGCTGTCCTTTCTTTCTTATTACTAAATTGTCGCCTTCATAATTGCATATATGTTGCTGTGTACCTATACTCGTATATATTTGTATTATATTATTGTATATTTATTTTATAAGTTATGTATTTATATATTATGTAGAATGTATATGTTTATGATATGTATTATTTTATATATTAATATTATTAATGTTTCTACTCCATCATGCGCCATCCACCACCTTCTGTCTTTTCTCCTCTACCCAAAGGTTGTCTGGAAGAGATCGCATAAGCGATAAGACCGCCTTTTGTACCCATAATCTAAATATTGTTTTCGTTTGTATATATGTTTTTTTTTTTTTGTTATTATGGTGCAATAAAGAGTAATAAATAAAAAAAAAAAATAATTATTAACATTAAAATATGATTGTAATGAAATTCCACACAGAATAGAATAGAATAGAATAGAATAGAATAGAATAGAATAGAAAATCATTTCTTCAAATAAACTCACATTGAAGCACTTTTGAATACTCATCACATTTTTTTTAATCTACCGCTCAGTCGGAAAGCTGTCTCATCACAAGAAGAACGAGCAAGAAACTTGCGCGTTGCTCTTTTAAATAATTTTATTCTTACATTACAATTTAAGTTTAAGTGTGTGAATACAAACTGCAGATTAGCACAGTCAGGTAACAACAAATAATCTTTTAACCGTACAATTCTGTAGTAATACGTTTGTGGTAATAAATCAGTAAGTGACATGTTAGTAACTATTTTATTGTGAGCCACATATCAAATGTTGAGGCATACGGCCGCCGGGGGCGCCGCCGTCGTAAACCAAATAAATACATGAAACAGCTTT